CCTTTTACCAGCAACAGTACAACCAGCGCAATCAGCAACACCGAAGATCACCTTTTCGTCGCAACCGCTCCGCAAGTAGAAGTCGAATAAGCTCAACATCAAGATCCCCTTACTGCTACTATCATCGACGTTTCGGGGTCGAGGCAAGAAAATGCACAGCACCGTGTACATTCAAAAATGAAAATACGAATACGGAAAACTAACTAGTACGCTCGATGCGACGGGATCCAGCGTAACAGCAAAGTCCTACCGTCTTTTCGTCACCGATAAAAAAAGCAAGCTCACTTGCCTTATCGACACCGGAGCAAATATCTCAGTGTTACCGCCGAAGCAAGGACAGAAGTTGAAGCCACTAGATTTTCAACTCTATGCAGCAAACAATACGGTTATTCCTACATATGGAGAAAAAACAATGGAACTTGATTTTAATCTACGCCGACCATTCAAATGGAGATTTATCGTCGCTAAAGTCAGCAAACCAATCATCGGTGCTGATTTTCTTCAACATCACCAGTTGGTCGTCGACATCAAAAATAGAAGAATCATCGACGGGAAAACCAATCTTGCATCTCAGTCTTTTGTACAAGCAACCAATCTGCCCACAATCAGAAGCATAGATGTGCAACAACCGTATCACAAGATCCTCGAAGAATACCCTGGTATCACAAGAATAACTTCAATGAAATTAACACCGAAGAACGACGTTGAGCATTTCATCGACACCAATGGACCACCACTTCATTGTCGTGCACGTCCAATCGCACCACACCTATACGAGCAAGTTCGAAAGGAATTCGAAAACATGATTGAGCAAGGAATATGCCGTCCAAGCAAAAGCCCTTGGTCATCACCACTTCACATTGTACCGAAGAAGAACGGAGAATTACGAGTTTGTGGAGATTACAGAAGACTGAATTCTATTACCACTCCTGACCGCTACCCAATACCGCGAGTCAGGGATTTCACTCATCAACTATCAGACAAGACTATATTCTCCACCATCGATCTCAACCGAGCTTACCAACAAATAAGAGTCCGCGATGAAGACATAGAGAAGACAGCAATAATTACCCCAATGGGATTATTCGAATTCCCAAGAATGATCCCAGGATTAAAGAACGGAGGTCAAACTTTCCAAAGATTCATACACGAAGTACTTCATGGACTGGATTTCGTTTTCGCATTTATTGATGATCTCCTTGTTGCAAGCCCTGATAAAGAAACGCGCGAAACCCATCTACGCACCGTGCTACAGCGATTAGAAGACAACGGAATCACAATCAACCCTTCGAAATGCATATTTGGACAGCAAGAAGTTCAATTTCTTGGTTTCACCGTCAGCAAGGAAGGAATAAAACCGCCTGCCGAAAAAGTCAGAGCAATCATCGATTATGCAAAACCTAAAACTATCGAAGAGCCTTAGCTCTTCGATAGTTTTAGGTTTTTTTGGGATGATAAATTTTTACAGAGAACACATACCTAAAGCCGCTGAAATCCAAGCACCACTTCACGCCTACCTTCACAACACGAAGAAAAAAGATAAAACGTCAATCGAATGGAACGATGAAGCCACGAAGGCATTTGAAGCTTGTAAAATTGCGATCCAAAATGCAGCTTTACTCGCTCACCCATCACACGAAGCAACCCTTGCTATCTTCAGCGACGCATCCGATCTCTCAGCAGGAGCAGTTCTCCAACAATACAGCAATGGGAAATGGCAACCACTTGGATATTTTTCGAAGAAGTTCTCCGATACTCAACGTAACTACAGTACATTCGACCGAGAGCTACTCGCTATTTACATGGCTATCAAGCACTTCAGAAAAACGTTCGAGGGTCGAAACCTGATCGTTTTTACCGACCACAAGCCATTAACATATGTACTTCCAAAGAAACCATCACTATCGGAAACACCACGAAGAGCAAGACAACTTATTTTCATAAGTGAATTCACGACCGACATACGTCACATCAGTGGAAAGGACAACATAGTTGCCGACGCACTCAGTCGCGTACCAATTGACAGTGTAACGTGCCCTACATCAATCGACTATCATAAGATCGCCGCAGCACAAGACAGAGATAGTAACAACATAAAACATCTATCGAAGCAAGGTAACTTGTCCATCAAGCAAGTTACAATGCCAATGACGCATCTACCTATATACTGTGAAGCCTCAACGACAACCATGCGACCATACATACCAGAAGAATGTCGTCGCGAAGTCTTCAATGCACTGCACAACATTAGTCATCCAGGTGTTAGAACAACAAGAAAACTCATCACTGAAAAATTCTTTTGGCCTGCAATGCAAGCGGATGTTGGCAACTGGGCGAAGCAATGCATTCAATGCCAAAAATGCAAAGTACAAAGGCATACATCAAGTAGTCTAGCTACATTTCCACCCACGGAGAGATTCGAACACTTGCACGTTGACATCGTTGGACCATTACCTACTTCACCGCAAGGACATCGTTATCTCGTAACAATGATCGACAGAACAACAAGATGGCCAGAAGCAATACCTACCGATGATACTTCAGCCGAATCCGTCGCGAAGATAATTTATGAAAATTGGATTACTCGTTTCGGATCACCTAAAACCATCACAACGGATCAAGGAAGGAATTTCGAAAGCAACCTATTCCTCAAACTTCTTCAAACTATGGGAATACAGAAGACGCGTACAACAGCATACCATCCTCAGTCAAACGGAATAATCGAACGATGGCATCGTACATTAAAGACTGCACTCAAAACTCGTTTATCTCAACATACAAAGTGGATTGATGAGCTACCTACAGTGCTACTCGGACTACGAGCAACACCGCGTGCAGACACTAGTCTTAGCGCCGCTCAGCTAACCTACGGCTGCAGCATAAGGCTACCGTGTGACTTCTTCAGTTCAGCAGCGTCAAACAAACAAGAAATGGATTACGATTTCGTAACTAAACTTCGAGAATCAATTAACAAAGCCTTATCGTTGAAATGCACCGAAATGCAATCACACAGAAATAATAAATCAGTATTCATTCACCAAGATTTGAAAATATGCAAACAAGTTTTTGTAAGAAACGACGCAATGAAAAAACAATTTCAACCTACCTACGATGGACCGTATAAAGTATTAGAGAGAAATAGCAAGACTTTTAAACTACAAATACCCGGAAGGAAATCTACGATTATATCGATCGACCGACTAAAGCCTGCCTATATTATTAACGAGGATACTGCAGAGGATTCATCATCATCATCAAAACCACCAGCGAGGAAGCTTGAAACTTCATCATCTACATCAACCCAGTTGAAACCTATTTTAAAAACTACGAAATACGGGCGAGTCGTCAAGCCTCCGGTACGCTTTCGCTGGGGGGAGAGTGATGTAGCAGCCAGATTAATCAAACCTAAACGGGAATAAATAATATATACTCCGCTGCTACCATAACGCGGAAGGCGAGAATAAATAAAAAAACATTTTATTTCCTAATTATTCTTGGCTACTGGGATACTGCGGACTGTATATAGATAATTTGACGTTCTTATAAAGAAACAAGAAGCAGCCGCAAATATCATTCAGCGCCACACCGACTTCACACGCCGCTATCGTCACGTATCCGTCGACCAATGGTGAGCCGTTTCTTCAACGCCGCAGTTCGTTTCCTCTTGCTGTTCCGGAGCTGTATTCCACACCGCCGCCGCCCGCCGACTACGCGTGCGCACCGATCTGCATGTCTTATATAGCCCGGTCCAGCGACGTAGCTTCGTGAACAGCAAACAAGTCTCACGCCGGGAAACGAAACGTAGATAATTGTATATTTTAAATAGTTTTCATTGGTCATAAAATAAGCAATATAATTGGCTAGGCAAAATATTAATTGTTACCATTGGCAAATCAATAGTGAGCCAGCCATATAAATATAGGCAAGGTTGATGCAAAAGATATTCCATTCCGAATCCCATTCGACAGTACATTCATAAACATAAACAGTAGTTTCATTTCTCCACCTTAAAGAAAACCACTCGGAGTCTGTTAATAGTGGACAGTTCGTCTCCACTATTACAGTTGCCTCAACCAAATATAATAAGATCATACAAATGCAAGTCTTGTGTCTATTGTCCTAAAAATCATTTAAATTTGACAATTGTCACAACTACACAAACTTAAAAATTAAGCAATTTTAACCATTTGAAATTCGACGTTTTTGGTTTAGGTAATTATATCGAGATGTGCATTGTGTACCTTGTGAAACTAAAACTACCTAAACAAAAATCCTCTCTTTCTATACGAATTTATGATGCCGTCGCAAGAACAAGAAACAGTGAATATCAACGAAGGACATCGCGTCGGTTTAGTTCGTGGGCCGTGTTAGCATATCGTTCCAGTTTTTGCGTTTTACGTTTTACAAATCTAAGCCTTGTACCTAATGAGCTAAAGATCATTTGAAATTTGATAACTCTCACAACTACACAAACTTAAAATTTAGGCAATTTTAACTATTTAAAATTCGACCTTATTGCTTTATCTATATATTATACTTCGCAATGTGCACCGCTATGTGATAACTACCAAAACATCGCAACGATATCCATATTCGCTTCATCTCTTTCTATACTTATTTAAACTATCATTGCAAGAACGAGAAGCGACGAATATCAACGAAGGTCATCGGTTAGTGGGCCGTTTTCCGTTTTGGGAGATCGTTTCACAGTTTGCGTTATGCGTTTCTGTTTCGTTTTCGTACGTTGGTTAGGTATATGGTTTTGGTTGGATATGTGATAACGGTTTTGTACTTAGGTTTATCGATATGATATGATATTTGATAACATAACGTTATTAGTTACGTTTTGATATATCGGTCTCATGCCTAGTATAAACCATAGATAAAGAATTCCTAGACACCTATATGGTTTAAATTGTGGTGGTTTATATTTATATTTATAATATCTTACACTAGTATTATCTATACGGAAGGTAACAAAATGTATTTTAATTCGTATAATGGAAACTAAAGTGCAGAAACAAGTTATCGATTATTTTTCAACCTTTGAAGAGTTTCATAATACATCCAAAACGTGTTTGAAATCTTGCCAAAACTGCGCAGTATCTATTAATAAACTTATTCAGCGCTGTAACAACATTAAGCAGTAAGAAATAATTGTTTAGACATTGTAACTCTTACTGGATTGAAGTTCTTAACTAAATGCGTTCCTTTTAGAGCGGATCTTTCCGGTACTCTATTAGAAGAGTTTGTTGATCTTCGGAGTAAATTGTCAACAAATCTACATAACCTCATCTCGGAGGAAATCTATGAAATTCGAAGTAAGGCGTAAGTATAACATTTAAACTCACAGAAAGAGTTGTTCAAATTTATGTGTAAACTATATATATATATATATATATATACATTTATTATATATATATATATATATATATATATATATATATATATGTATGTATATACATATATATATTATATATATATATATATATATATATATATATATATATATAATATAAATATGTATATATATATATATATATATATATATATACACACATTTTAAATTAATAATCCCGTAATTAGTTATTAAGTCACATCATAAGTTTATTGCTAAATATTTATTCATAACTAGCCATTCGCCCTGGCTTTGCACAGGTGATTTCTTGAACTCGACAACGGCACCACCTACCAGGTCCAACATACAAAAAATTTCATCAAAATTGGTCAAGTCGTTTTTTAGTTTTAGCGAGACTTACAGACAGCCATTGTCTTTTATATATAGAAATAATTACAATCATTCTGGTTCGTTCTTCTAAAACTTCTCAAGTTTGAAATTTATCTATTTACTAGATAGAAAGAAGACCAGATGAGGCATGCAAAGTCATTGTGAATAGAGGTGACTCAACACTTTTGGCACTATATTTTGCCATAACATGTTCACTGATGAACAGGGGTGTGATAAATATTTATTTGTTTGCTGAGGAGTTTGAGGGCAAATCTAGAGTTAAATGTGAATCAAATCAAATATATGGTGTATGTCTTGATTTAAAAAAAATGTTAAATTGGAACATGTCAAAACTTTGATAAAAGGGCTCCATAGCCTTAACTATTGACACATTTGACAATACAGGCAAAGTTTAATAAAAATAGTTAAGTAAACATTCATTGTATATGCATCTTAATAATGGGCACAAACCTCTCCATATATGGGTAATAATGGGTATTTTGATAATATATAAGGAGAATGTATGGAATGAAACATAAGTTCATTCCATATTTATGTGAATATGAGTATGATAAAAGGAGTTGACTGAGGATAAAGTTATATTGGGTGTTCAAGGTAAGGTCTTAAATATTCTACCATGAATCATGTCCAGTAATCACTCCACCAAAACATGCTGAGCAGAAGCAACAATGGTGGGGTAAAGAACTAGACAGGAAACGTAAGAAGGTAAGAAAAGCCCTAAATAAGGCAATGAATACCTCAAAGGATGAAGACTGGCTTCTATATAAGAAAGCTAAGTCTGTATACAAAAAATGTATCAGGTATCGACACTCAACTGCATGGTGAAAATTCTGTGGTAGCATAGAAACCTGTTAACAACAAAATCGGATAAGGAAAATCCTAGCTAAACAGAACATATGTATGTCTCCAAACACCGGGACAAATTTGTGTTTCAAGTCGAGTCTTTGCTGAACAGAGTCTCGGATTGAGGGCGACTAAATCTAGTCCAGTTTAACCCCCAGAAGACACAAGTTTGTGCGTTAACCGCTAAAAAGAACCCCTTTGTCGTATCTCCTCAGTTTCAAGGCACTCCTCTTGTTGCCTCAGCCAGTATCGGAATCCTCGGCGTCGACATATTGAGTGACGTGCAGTTTCATGGTCACTTGGAAGAGAAAAGGCCAAATTGGCCTCTAAAAATCTTGGCATGCTCAGCAGAGCTGGACAGTATTTCATGCCGGCACACCGCCTGCAACTTTACAAGGTGCAGGTTCGGCCTCACATGGAATACTGTTCCCATTTCTAGGCTGGGGCTCCCCAGTACCAGCTCCTTCCACTTGACCACATCCAGTGCAGAGCAGCTCGAATCGTCGACGTCCCAGTGCTTTCCGATCGGCTCGATTCACTGTCGCTGTGAAGAGATGTTGCATCTCTTTGCATTTTCTTTCGCATATACCATGGAGAGTGCTCTGAGGAATTGTTCGGATTAATCCCAGCCGCCAAATTTCGAGAACACACTACACGGCAAAGGTCCCCATACCATCCACACCATCTGGATGCTTGGCGGTCCACCACTGTACGTTTCAAAAGGAGTTTTCTTCCGCGTATAAGCTCTCTGTGGAATAGTTTACCACCGGCGATTTTTCCGGACCGATACGACCTGGAGACCTTCATGAAAAGAGCTTACTCCTTTCTAAAGGGCTGGCAACGCACCCGCAATTCCCCTGGTGTTGCGGTTGATCATGGGCGGCGGTAGTCAACATCAGGTGAGCCGCATGCTCATTTGCCCCCTCTTCTATAAAAAAAAAACGCCAAAAGAAAAAAACTATCTCTTTAAAGAAACTTGATGGAAGCTACTCAACATCGCTGGATGAAACCCAACGCATCCTAATTGATACTTCCCAGGTTGCTGTGTAGTTGAAAGGGTGAACCGGCATGAAGATGCACTGACACCAACAAAAGAAGACTGGGAATTAGCACAAAGAGTGGTGGCGATGTACAAAATCCATTGGGCCATTCGTAGTTTCCAACCCTATAAGGCAGCAGGACCTGACGGCTTATTCCCGGCACTTCTACAGTGGGGGGGGGGGGGGTAAAGTCCTAATAGTCAGACTTGTTGCCATGAGAGCATGTCTGGCTCTTAAATATGTTCCTAGGGGATGAAGGGAAGTGAAAGTCACATTCATACCCAAACCAGCTAAGAATGATACGAACAGACCCTAAATCCTACAGACCCATTAGCCTCACATCATTTCTCCTAAAGACAATGGAGAGGATGTGTGAACGAGAGTTGAGAGGGTCAGCGCTAATTAACTTACTGCTACATGAAAAACAACATGCCTATAGCTTAGGTGTATCAACAGAATCGGCACTTCACCAGGTAATAACAAATATTGAAGAAGCCATCCAAAACAAAGTAATATGTCTAGGCTCCTTCATAGACATAGAAGGTGCTTTTGACAGAACAAATTTCTCCAGCATAAAAGGTGCCCTAAGTGGACATAATGTTGAACCGGCACTGATTGACTGGATAGTAAACATGCTCAGTACACAAACAATAAAGATTGCTGGTGAATCTCAGACAATTCAGATCATGAAAGGATGACCCGCAGGGTGGGGTTCTTTCACCTTTCCTGTGGAACATGGTCATTAATGAACTCATCAGCAAATTAAACGCTAACCATTTCTACAAAGTAGGTTATGCAGATGATCCAACAATACTGGTCTCTGGTAAGACAGCAAGCATTATGTGCGACCTGACCCAAGCGGCTCTCCATATTGTAGAGAGATGGTGCAGGGAATATAACCTAACCGTTAATCCAAATAAAACGGTTATAGTAATGTTCACACAAAAACGAATGCTGAATAACTATCATCTTCCAAGTCTTTTCAGCACAAAACTCCAGCTTTCCTTCGAGGTAAAATACCTTGGATAGTAAACTTAACTGGAACAAACACATAGAAAACAATATTCGCAAAGCTAGTTTAACTTTCTGGCAATGCAGAAACATGATTGGCAAATGATGGGGTTTAACGCCAAAAATTATACTGTGGCTGTACAAAACTAATTCGGCCCATGATCACATACAGCTCTCTGGTATGGTGGACCAAAACCAATGAAGCCACTACTATACAAAAGCTTCAGCATTACCAGAGATTAGCTTGTATGGCTGCCACGGGCTGCATAAGGACTACACCAACAGCAGCTTTGAAGGCTATGCTGGAGCTAACACCGCTTCATCTATATATACAACAAGAAGCAACTTTAGCTGCCATTAGACTCAAGACCCTAAATCTTTTAAGTAAGAGTAGAGTCCCCCATATAGATATAATAGATAGAATTTACTCAAAAGTTCCTATCTTACAAGCCAAGTATGATAGGATCCCAAAACAATTTGTATTCGATAAGAAGTACAGGATTTGGAGGAAACTGACCATCTGGAAGGATTGGGTCCAAGAGAGCTCAAAGTTTTCACGGATGGCTCTAAGAGAAATGAAGGTGTGGGGTATGGGGCTTTCTCTGAAGACCTTAATATCCACATATGCACACCGCTGGGTACCCACAACACAGTCTTCCAGGCTGATTGCATGGGTATCATCCAAGCGGCCATAGCAATAGATGCTAGGAAGGTGAAAGACTTCTCCATCAGAATACTGACCGACAGCATGGCCGTACTACAAGCTCTGAGTTGCAATGTGACGAACTTGGGTCTGATATACGAGTGCCATTAACGATTGAATGAGGTATGTAAGCACAACAATGTGACTGCAATGGATCAAGGGACACAGTGGATCCAGAGGCAACGATGCAGCAGATGAACTGGCCAGAAGGGGATCGGCCCTGACAACTATAGGGCCGGAACCAATAATACCAATCCCCTTTGGCTATGTTCATTCACTGGTACGTAGTTACTTCAATAATTTACACGCTCAGCTTTGGAAAAATTTAGTAGACTGTAGACAAGTTATGGAAACCCTACCTGAAATAAACAGTCGTCTAACCAAGGTTCTAATGAGACTGAACAAGCCACAGATCAGGATAGTAACAAGTGCTATCACAGGACATTTCAACAAACATTTGTTCACCTTAGATGTTACTGATAGCCCCCTGTGCAGGGCATGCATAGGAGAGGAAGAAACGGCGGCTCATGTGTTGCTGACATGTCCAGAAGTCACTTCATACAGGGCTAAACATCTCGGCACGCCGCGATCGCTCCCCGAAGTTGCTTGCAACATCAAGTGACTGCCGAGCTTCTTCGGGGAGATATCATAGCTCGAATAACCATAGTATTCCTGCCCACACGCAAAATACGCGCTTAGACGTGGAGTTGCGGAAAACAGTCCGTCGTAAACTAAACTAAGGTCTTAAATTTGGAAATCTAGAAAAGGCTAAGTTTTTTTCTTTAAGTTGCTTCATCATAAGGCAATCCTGAATGAATAGTGTAACAGTAGGTGATGACCTTTTTAAAAAATAAGCGTGATGTATGGGATTGTAGCAAATATTGAAGAATATATTGAAATAATACTAGTTTTTATGGAATTTATCGCGTATATTTAACTTTTTAAATACCCGATGTTTCGAACGCTTTACAGCACTCATGGT